AAGAATTCAGTTTGAGAACGAGCGTCCTCATTTGAATTACTATGTTTGAGCGTTCGGCTCAGCATAGAGAGGTCGTACACCTTAAATTAAAATATACTGAAATAAGTGACGGTCGGTCTTATACCGAACGTTCGTTCTAAATCGCGCTAGGTCTTATACCAAGCGTTCGTCATAAACGGTACTCGGTCTTATACCGAGCATTCGCCCTAAATCGCGCTAGGTCTTATACCAAGCGTTCGTCATAAACGGTACTCGGTCTTATACCGAGCGTTCGTCCCAAATCGCGCTCGGTCTTATACCAAGCGCTCGTATTATTGAATAACCCCTTGAATAAAACAGCGTTCGTTCAAGTATTAAAATATTCACTTTTCCTTACGTTCGTTCAACTACTGGCATCCGTCTTCCGTATGCGAAGTACTACAAAAATAGTTCTAAATACTCTTGACCCTCCATCTTACATTAGATCTGGACTAAGGTCTTCATGATGAAATTTTCTTTAAGTACCAGGGTGCGTCCAAACGAGTCAATTCATTTAACTGACCGAACAGACAGTAACGTTTGTTGTATATTTCCCCGTTTATCCAGTACCTTTCTTTGAACGTTCGTCCTAGTTCTTCAGCGGACTGAACGTTCGTCATTTTATGCTCTTGAATCTAAAGATGTAAATGATGATGAATTATGATAATTTAAAGTGTGAACGCCATATGGAGCGATATTATGATATTGGACTTTGGACGAGCGTTCCAGGGAGGAACGACTCTTACATTTATTGAATATTAAATTTGGTAAAGTATGACTGTGGTTATGCTAATGCTGGCATGGTCCATCCTGATATTCCGTGATACTCATCTTCACGTAGAGGAGAGTAGTTCATGTGTGGGAATGGCAGGAGGTCTTTAGTCCATAAGTTAACATGGGCGACGTAAGAACGGACTAACCTCGAGTGACAGCTGTTGAGTGTATCCCAGTTACTACACCACTCGGGTGCGAGGACGCCTGTAGCTACACGGTTCATACAGTCCGGACGGTCGGTCTAGAATATGTATATATAAAGTTCTATGTTACCTTATGTTAAGTTACATGCTGTATGTATGAATTGAAATGTTAAATATATATGTTGAATGTATGAATTAAATTATATAAGCTTACCCTTTCGTTTTCCTTGTGTTGTCCATTGTATATGTACGTTCGTCCTGTCTTGCAATGATCATCCGTGTGGATGTGAGCAGATGGTGAGGCCACCTTAGAAGATGTGATTGAAGAAGAAAATTTAGTCGAAGTTGAAGTGAAAGCGGAGCAGTAGGACGTTCGTCTTTCCTTTTAGTTTAGTCGTTCGCTTTTGAAATGGACGTTCGGTTATTTATTTTGTAAAACCGTTCGTCCTAATCTCTTGTATATGTGCACATTAAGCCGTTCGGTTCTTGAATTGTGCTTTATTAATGTAAAGACTGTTTATTTTACTGTTAATTGTAATTAATTCTGAATTATGGTAATTACTGTATTTTGGGATGTTACACATGTGTGTATTATGTATATAATAACACTAACATTTCAAAATAAATAAAACATGAAAATAAATTATCCATCCATAATTTGAGTTGTCAATGTTATCTAAATCATAAATAATTTATTAACTTCATCAGTAACTTAAAAATTATTCTACCATACCTTTTAATTGATTAAATATGAATTTAATAAAAGCTCAAAAAGAATAAATGTAATAAAATTACATAAAAATTAATTAACTAAACATGTTTTCATGTCTAAATAACTTTTTCATTATTATCGACCTTAATTTTGTATTTATTTTGAATCTGGTGTTTGGAAATTTTTGGTATTATACGATCTATAAAATATTTTTATTATAGGTTTTGCATGTTAAATTATCAAAATCAATGTAATGATAAAACTGAAATACAACAAAAAATAATTCATGGAAGAGTGACATTTTTTTTAGAATAGACAAAAGAAAAATCTGAATATATTATGTAATTAAACCAAAATTAAAGCAGGATGTTTATTCAAGAAAAAAGATAAAAATAAAATAAAAAAGTTGTGTGCAGGGAACAAATTTGGGGCACCAATTAAGGAAGGCGCATTTGACATTAACAGAAGGTGGATTAAAGGCATGTTTGGATTTGGGTTTGGGTTTTGCGAATGACTGAATGAGTTAGCGTTTGTAGAATCCGAAATTTGATTAGGGAAATTGAAACAGAGCCCTCCGAAAACCCCAAAACCCTGTTTGGCTTTGCGTTTCGTTGTGGCCATGGATTTTCAAGTGGTGGTTCTCGGCGGTGGCGTCTCCAAGAAGCTCCTCCCCCTCGTTTCTCAGGTTTCACAACGGAAATGCTTCTAACCAAACAATTTTCCACGCTATATGTTATATAAAAGCGCTTATTTCTTACTGCAGGAGCTTCCGAACGCGTTGCTTCCGGTGGCGAATCGCCCCGTTATCTCTTACGTTCTCGAGTACTTGGAGCTTAGCAACCTCAAAGATCTCATTGTGGTAATTTCATTTTTCGCAATCTTTGGTGTTATTGGAAAGGGTAAATAGTGAAATTGGTGAGGAAATTTAACTGTAGGTGATTGAAGGCGAAGAAGCGGCACTTCGTGTTGGGGCTTGGATTTCAGGGGCTTATGCTGATCGCCTCCATGTTGAGGTAATCGGTTTTTTGGTGTTACCTTTCATTTACTAAACATGATTCATTGTCGCTATGTATCTTGATAGTGACCGTAAGCATAAGGGTACCTAGGTCTTACGTTTTGTTTGGATGAGCTTTTAAATAGTTATAGAGGGAAATTTTGAGATAGTAAAATGGGTAGACTCTTTTTTGGGGAAACTTCACATTAATCACCTACGTTAGAAGGAAACAAAAGATATAATGAATTTAATTTTTCGTGCAAGTTAAAATCGTCAGCTTTGAAGAAGTGAAATGGAAGAGTTTTTGATAAATTAGCTTAAGTATAAGTTATTTTGATTCTTGGGAGATGGTGCCTTAATTTGTTTTACCTTCTTATTCTATTCTCTTATTAGTGCTTATTGAGAAGCTTATTTAAAAGGGGTCTTACACTTCTTTAATAAGTTCACATTAACCTATGCACTTTAATTTTTATTGAAGCTCTCTCATCTAACTTCTTCAAAAGCTGAGGTGTACAAGTTGATTTTAACTTGTGGAAGAAGTTTGATTCATTTTTGTTTTTTATTTTCTTCTTTTGTGATTGCTTGTTAAGAAAATGATCTAAATGGTCTTATGTAGTTTTTCCTTAAAAGATTGATAATGCGTAGACATGTGTGATGATTTTTTTGTTTAATAATTGTCCAGGTTGCTGCAGTTCCTGAGGATGTGGGTACAGCAGGTGCAATTCGGGCTATTTCTCATCACCTAACTGCTAAAGACATTTTGGTGGAGTATCCCTCCCTCCCTTGCCTGTGAACTCTGTGATCTAAATAATGTTGTTCTTCATGGCTGTGTTGATTTTCTGCAGGTTGTCAGTGGTGATCTTGTTACGGATGTGCCACTTGGTGCTGTTGCAGCTACTCATAGACGACATGATGCAGTTGTTACTGCTATGCTCTGCTCTGCTCCTGTGAGTGGACCTTCAGAGTCAGTATCTTCTGGTGGGAAAGACAAAACCAAGAAACCTGGCCGCTATGATTTGATAGGGCTGGATCCCACAAAGCAGTTTTTAGTTCACATAGCAACTGGTTAGTTATCTAACTTTTGTTTATATATGGCATGGTATTGTTGTATGTGTGTTCATGTGGAATCTTGCAACATTTTTCAGGAGCAGAAGTTGAGAAGGATCTTCGAATTCAGAAGAGCATACTCCCTGCAGTTGGCCAGGTACTTTTCTTTTTCTCGTGTCTGGACCTTCTTAGTTGGTTCCACCTGCCTATAATTTCTTCAGTATNTACACCACTCGGGTGCGAGGACGCCTGTAGCTACACGGTTCATACAGTCCGGACGGTCGGTCTAGAATATGTATATATAAAGTTCTATGTTACCTTATGTTAAGTTACATGCTGTATGTATGAATTGAAATGTTAAATATATATGTTGAATGTATGAATTAAATTATATAAGCTTACCCTTTCGTTTTCCTTGTGTTGTCCATTGTATATGTACGTTCGTCCTGTCTTGCAATGATCATCCGTGTGGATGTGAGCAGATGGTGAGGCCACCTTAGAAGATGTGATTGAAGAAGAAAATTTAGTCGAAGTTGAAGTGAAAGCGGAGCAGTAGGACGTACGTCTTTCCTTTTAGTTTAGTCGTTCGCTTTTGAAATGGACGTTCGGTTATTTATTTTGTAAAACCGTTCGTCCTAATCTCTTGTATATGTGCACATTAAGCCGTTCGGTTCTTGAATTGTGCTTTATTAATGTAAAGACTGTTTATTTTACTGTTAATTGTAATTAATTCTGAATTATGGTAATTACTGTATTTTGGGATGTTACACATGTGTGTATTATGTATATAATAACACTAACATTTCAAAATAAATAAAACATGAAAATAAATTATCCATCCATAATTTGAGTTGTCAATGTTATCTAAATCATAAATAATTTATTAACTTCATCAGTAACTTAAAAATTATTCTACCATACCTTTTAATTGATTAAATATGAATTTAATAAAAGCTCAAAAAGAATAAATGTAATAAAATTACATAAAAATTAATTAACTAAACATGTTTTCATGTCTAAATAACTTTTTCATTATTATCGACCTTAATTTTGTATTTATTTTGAATCTGGTGTTTGGAAATTTTTGGTATTATACGATCTATAAAATATTTTTATTATAGGTTTTGCATGTTAAATTATCAAAATCAATGTAATGATAAAACTGAAATACAACAAAAAATAATTCATGGAAGAGTGACATTTTTTTTAGAATAGACAAAAGAAAAATCTGAATATATTATGTAATTAAACCAAAATTAAAGCAGGATGTTTATTCAAGAAAAAAGATAAAAATAAAATAAAAAAGTTGTGTGCAGGGAACAAATTTGGGGCACCAATTAAGGAAGGCGCATTTGACATTAACAGAAGGTGGATTAAAGGCATGTTTGGATTTGGGTTTGGGTTTTGCGAATGACTGAATGAGTTAGCGTTTGTAGAATCCGAAATTTGATTAGGGAAATTGAAACAGAGCCCTCCGAAAACCCCAAAACCCTGTTTGGCTTTGCGTTTCGTTGTGGCCATGGATTTTCAAGTGGTGGTTCTCGGCGGTGGCGTCTCCAAGAAGCTCCTCCCCCTCGTTTCTCAGGTTTCACAACGGAAATGCTTCTAACCAAACAATTTTCCACGCTATATGTTATATAAAAGCGCTTATTTCTTACTGCAGGAGCTTCCGAACGCGTTGCTTCCGGTGGCGAATCGCCCCGTTATCTCTTACGTTCTCGAGTACTTGGAGCTTAGCAACCTCAAAGATCTCATTGTGGTAATTTCATTTTTCGCAATCTTTGGTGTTATTGGAAAGGGTAAATAGTGAAATTGGTGAGGAAATTTAACTGTAGGTGATTGAAGGCGAAGAAGCGGCACTTCGTGTTGGGGCTTGGATTTCAGGGGCTTATGCTGATCGCCTCCATGTTGAGGTAATCGGTTTTTTGGTGTTACCTTTCATTTACTAAACATGATTCATTGTCGCTATGTATCTTGATAGTGACCGTAAGCATAAGGGTACCTAGGTCTTACGTTTTGTTTGGATGAGCTTTTAAATAGTTATAGAGGGAAATTTTGAGATAGTAAAATGGGTAGACTCTTTTTTGGGGAAACTTCACATTAATCACCTACGTTAGAAGGAAACAAAAGATATAATGAATTTAATTTTTCGTGCAAGTTAAAATCGTCAGCTTTGAAGAAGTGAAATGGAAGAGTTTTTGATAAATTAGCTTAAGTATAAGTTATTTTGATTCTTGGGAGATGGTGCCTTAATTTGTTTTACCTTCTTATTCTATTCTCTTATTAGTGCTTATTGAGAAGCTTATTTAAAAGGGGTCTTACACTTCTTTAATAAGTTCACATTAACCTATGCACTTTAATTTTTATTGAAGCTCTCTCATCTAACTTCTTCAAAAGCTGAGGTGTACAAGTTGATTTTAACTTGTGGAAGAAGTTTGATTCATTTTTGTTTTTTATTTTCTTCTTTTGTGATTGCTTGTTAAGAAAATGATCTAAATGGTCTTATGTAGTTTTTCCTTAAAAGATTGATAATGCGTAGACATGTGTGATGATTTTTTTGTTTAAAAATTGTCCAGGTTGCTGCAGTTCCTGAGGATGTGGGTACAGCAGGTGCAATTCGGGCTATTTCTCATCACCTAACTGCTAAAGACATTTTGGTGGAGTATCCCTCCCTCCCTTGCCTGTGAACTCTGTGATCTAAATAATGTTGTTCTTCATGGCTGTGTTGATTTTCTGCAGGTTGTCAGTGGTGATCTTGTTACGGATGTGCCACTTGGTGCTGTTGCAGCTACTCATAGACGACATGATGCAGTTGTTACTGCTATGCTCTGCTCTGCTCCTGTGAGTGGACCTTCAGAGTCAGTATCTTCTGGTGGGAAAGACAAAACCAAGAAACCTGGCCGCTATGATTTGATAGGGCTGGATCCCACAAAGCAATTTTTAGTTCACATAGCAACTGGTTAGTTATCTAACTTTTGTTTATATATGGCATGGTATTGTTGTATGTGTGTTCATGTGGAATCTTGCAACATTTTTCAGGAGCAGAAGTTGAGAAGGATCTTCGAATTCAGAAGAGCATACTCCCTGCAGTTGGCCAGGTACTTTTCTTTTTCTCGTGTCTGGACCTTCTTAGTTGGTTCCACCTGCCTATAATTTCTTCAGTATTACATGTTTATCATTGTTATGCTGTGAGATTTAACTGTCTATTCTGTAGCAAAACTTTCTACTTTAATTTGCTATGTACTGTTATTGCATCTCTTGTTCAGCACATTGACCAACTTTATTATTGGAGTTGTTTTGTGTTTGTGATTTATGTGGAAATGGAAATTGGTTATCATGCTTCCAGAGTTAGAAAACTGTTCAATCTGTCAATCTTATAGAAGTAGCATCTTCTGTGAAAATATGAATTGCTCATCTGGTTAATTGAAAATTAAAAACAAGACTTTTGCTATTTCTTATTTCTCTTTATTGTTATTTGTCATTCATGTAGATAGAAATAAGAGCTGATCTGATGGATGCCCACTTGTATGCGTTCAAAAGGTATATTCATTTTCTTTTTAAATTCCTTCCTTGTTCTTTTGTCTTGAATCACTCATTTTTGCATCCTGAAACAAACTTTTGTTGCAGATCAGTTCTACAAGAAGTTCTAGATCAGAAAAGTGCATTTCATAGCTTAAAGCATGATGTATTGCCATATCTAGTCCGGAGCCAACTGGTTAGTTGTTAATGGTTTTTCACGAGATAGTTAGGTATTGTTGAACTTATAAGGATTCTAACCTTGTTCAAATTTTGTTAATGAGAGTTAGAAATCAGAAGTATTATTTAATGGTATGCCACAAGTGGAAGAAAATGGAACTGAAAAGGTTATATCTCAGAGCAATCAACAAATGCTATCTCAAATACTTGCTAATGCATCTGAACCAACCTTTCATCTACGGCATGCACTGGGTTCGTATAGTTCTACTTCTGATCGAAAAACCCACAAATGCTGTGTGTATATTGCTGGAAGCAGCAAGTACTGTGCTCGCTTAAATTCTATACAAGCATACAATGACATAAACCGAGATGTGAGTTTGTTGTTGTTATGGCCTTTATCAGGAACTCGTGATTGTCTTCAATTCTCTGGTTGCTTTGGCATTATTCATTTTTTTTACTGTGACAGGTAATAGGAGAGGCTAGCCATTTATCAGGTTATTCTTTCTCTGCCCAAAACAACATTATCCATCCTTCTGCAGAGCTTGGGGCAAAAACAACTGTAAGTTACTTTAGTGGTCTGATATAGGGTTTCTGGAGCATTATTTTTTGTTCTTTCCATTTTTAGGTTCATATAAATAGTTATGATTTGTGTAGGTTGGACCACATTGTATGTTGGGGGAAGGTTCACAAATGGGTGACAAATGCAGTGTGAAACGGTCTGTCATTGGCCGTCATTGTCGGATAGGTGCCAATGTTAAGGTGGGATGATATATTATTCTTACAAGTTAGCAGGAGGTTACATTTTGGTCTTCTGATTTATCTGTGGCATATGGACTCCAACCCACAATGAGTGATCAGCAACACTGTCTAGCATATTCCTAATGAGTTGTATTCAGTAATGTTAATGCCAAGTTTTCCTGTGACTTGTTTTATGCACGCAGGTTGTTAATTCAGTAGTTATGAATCATGTTTCTATTGGAGACTGTTGTTCAATCCAAGGTTCTGTTATCTGTAGCAATGTACAGCTCCAAGAACGTGCAGTAGTAAAAGATTGTCAAGTAATTTGTTTCGGCTTTTTTCTGACCATATTTTCATGCAATTTGAATCGGAATGTCACATTGCTTGTCTTGGCAGGTTGGAGCAGGTTATGTGGTCACTGCTGGTAGTGAGTGCAAGGGAGAGGTCTTAGCTAAGAAATGAAACTGAGATGTGAGAATCCAGGCTGGGAAATTCATACCAAAGTGACTTATGTTCTGCTTCGTCACTGCTTGGAGCAAATTTTGTGCTTTTTGCTGGCAGCAGTTACAATTTGGTGTTGGCAGGAGGGGCAAAGAAATTCTAATACTTCCGACTTGCATGCGTGTCCTTTGCAGTTTGTTTCGATCGCTATTTGTTTGAAAATGGCTGCAATTGGTCTTGAATATTCATTTGTGTTAATGACTACTAATTATTTCTGCTTCATCACAATTTTCTGCCATTTAATTCAAGTTACAAGGGACTTTCGGTTGGTATCTTACTGCTGAACGAAAGCGGTATAATCCAGAGCCATCAGTTTTGTATTCGAGCAAATGCAGTACTATCGACGTATTTCTTTGGGCTTTTTTGCATTTTTGTTTTTGTTAGAGATCTAGTGATAATAACGTTAACTTGAATTTGGTACCTGCTTTGTAAGAATATATTTAAGCTCAACTTTTTTCCTCCCTATTTTTCTCTGGGATTGGAATGATGAGAGGTGTGCTAGTGTTTCCAGATACTAAATGGTCTCTAGAGAATTACGAGTCTCGTTGAAACCGTTACTTCTATTTTTGTGCTTATAAGTGATTTTGCCAGACGAAATGGGTCTGGTGGATTTGGATTTTCGTTCTGTTTGGTGTTAACATCAGATGTTCTCATTAATAAATTTCTATACCGTTCATTAACTTTATTAATCCACGTTGGAATGAAAACTAATTAAGACTATCAAAGAAGAATGAATGAGGAACGTAAACGTAATGAATGATTAAGATTTAAGAAAAATACCACTTCTATTATGCTGATTTTCTTTATAGAGTACCCTTAATAACGTGTTCCAGATTGTTTTTACTGCAAAAATACGTTTAGCAAAAAGGGGAAATAACGTGTTTGGTTAACATAATTTCATGAAATGAATCTCTATGTTTGAATATATCTTGGCGGAAAGTGTTTTTATAGATAAAGGAAGACTTTAAAAAATCATTTATAGAATATTTATAATAATGAAACAACGGTAAGTGATATAAAAGTATCAATGTCTTATTTATAATTAAAGTAAGGATATGTTAATATAAAGGTTTAAACCCTTGTCCTCAATTTTGTATGAAAATCTCAGTTCGGCGGCCCTAGTTTTTTCATCTGTCTCAATTGGGTCATATTCTTTGTAAAAATGAACACATTTACCCTACTGTTAACTGGTCTCAGACAACGTTAAATTGATATGAGTGTATTTGTTTCTTTTATCGACGTGGCATTGTGCACTAAAATTGAATGTGTCTTGTGTTTTATCCAGGTGGCCTACCAAGCCCTAACATTAAGGGCATCCCCTCTCATCCAAAGTTATATTTTGTCTTGGGGAAGAAAGGAGGTTCGTCTTTTTCTTTCGTCTTTGCAAGCACACACTTGTCTTACGTCTTGGGCAAGCACTGTGGTGTTGAGGTGTGGTAAGGATTCTCGTCATCTTCCTCTTGCAAAGTTTGGGTTCGCCATGCAAACACAGTAGTGGCAGTTGTTAGGAGGTTGGGTGCAAAAAACCAACAGCTTCTGCGGTCACAAGCAGTGTTCCGTATTGCGAGAAACCCCTAAAAACAAGGAAAAAAAATTCTGGGGTTGCCCTAACTTCAGGTAGTTTGATATAACCATAAAAATCTCTGTCTATTTTATTTGGGTTTTGACGAAGGGTGTGTGTTCTTGTTGACAGGGTGGGAGTGGAGAATTGGTTGGTGCACTTCTTGAGTGGTGATGAAGAAGAATGAAGGACATGGCTGAAGTAGAAGAAAGGGATCGTCAGTGAGAAATGAAAGAATTGGGGTGATGAGCATGGAAGACAAATGTGCTGCAGATGGAAGAAAGATATGGTGAAAGATCAACTGGGGTTTTATGAGAAAAGTTTAGTTAAGTGGATAAGTGGTTGAAATGTTAGTGGGGATGATTTTGTCATATTTGTTTTTGAATGTAATTGTATTAGCCAATGTGTGAAACTTGGTTGATGTTGTGTCATCTGTGATCCAGAGTTTGAATTGGCTTATATGTAAGGGTGTTTTATTAATGAAGGTGAGTTATTATAGTGATAATGTGTGTGATTAATTTGTTTTAATTATATTGTTACTGTTAGAAGGGAATAATCATAAAGCAAAATCATGGACTAGTGAAATAATTAGAAACATCATAAAGAATAAGGTTGTAAAGAAGATGAGTGATAACAAAATTGGACCAATAATCACTTTCTCATAACCATAAACATTGTCTTACATCATAACAAAAAGCTGTTCAAAATGATAAGAACATTGTCTTACATATCCAAAATACAATCATAACAGAGTGTGTTCAAAAGATTAGAGCAAACATTTGCCTACAAATAATATAATAAGTTCAGTACATTAGATCATTCATCACATCATTCATCAGATAAAGGCATAGTTGTTTCGTGAGTAACAGGAACATCTGTTGCTGAAGGTTGGCTGGGTTGTGGTTGTTCAGGACATTGGTCAGTACCAAACATAGTAGACTCTTGAGTTATTGGAACATTTGTTGGTGGAGGTTTGGTGACTTCTACAGATTGGGCAATAGGAACCTCTACTGTTGGAGGTCTTTGTGGACAACCTTTTCTATTGTGTCCAAGTTCTTTGCAGATGGCACATTTTTTCCTCTGCCCCCCTTTCCTAATTCACTGTATTCTTCTTTAACTCCCAATCCTCATAGTCTTCGTATCTTCTTAGGCCTTCCTGGCATTGTCCTCTTCTTTGGTGGTAATATATCTGAATAGGGTGTGACATCCCAGACATGTTGACCATTGATAGGGTTAATTATTGTGTTGTAAGTCTCTTCATAGGTAGACTTCCTAAACCAGTGCACCAATGTATTCTTCTGCATTTATATTCAAAAATTTCATTGCAGTGATGACATGAGTACAAAGGAATGCCAGTAATTGCCCATTTTCTACATGTGCAGTCCATGTTGTCAACATTCACAACAAATGCTGACCAAATTGTGAAACATGTTTCACTTCAAATAATTTTTCTTTTAAACCACTGTATTTAATACACAATTCACAACACAATTAGATGGATCAATAAAATGGAAACAAACTTATCATGAATGGAAACATACATCATAAAAGTTACCTTGGTAACCAATATCTAGTTAACCAGGACTCCTTATGAAATCTGTTAAAAACCTTGGGGAGATTGAACCTTGATATGATGTCATCTTTGTTCTGTTGGCAGCCCATCTCTTCATTATGTAAATCCTAATGTCTTCTAACATGCTAATGATAAGCTTAGACCTACTATCAACTAGCACACTATTAAAGCCCTCACACATGTTGTTCACAAGAGTGTCACATTGTGATATAGAGGTGAATCAAGATCTTGACCAAAACTTGGATAAGTGAATATTACTAGTCAAGTATGTGTGATGGCAAACAAATATTTAAATAATTATAAGACTTAATAATTATAAGACTTCACATACCTAGGTGGGATGGCAAGCAAATATTTAAATGCGTCTAAATTGATGTCTTTAATATTCCTCATTTCAGCCTCCCATTGTTATGGATGTGTGGTTGTTGCTTCCCTCCACATGAGACGTTTAAGGTTTTTTCCAGGAATTTTTTTTTCTGAAGTTTGAATATAAATGTCTAACACAAAATCTTTGTTCTACACTAGGCAGAAGATCTTGGATAGCTGGCAAAAGACCCTGACATATTCAAGATATTTTAATTAACATTTGTTTAATGAAGATATTCAGTTATATGTACAAGATATTGAACATTGACTGACCTTCTGTTGGTCTGAAATAAATGTGCATCCTGCACATACAGGTGCCTCACCAAGGCCTTAATAAGGTGCTCCAAGAACCAAGTCCAGGAGTCTTTGTTTTCTACCTCAACAACAGCATATGCTATGGGCAACATTTGGTCGTTTCCATCTCTTCCCACTGCTATTAGTAACTCCCCTCCATACTTGCCTTCAAAGCGCATCCATCCAACCCAATAATAGGTCTACAACAAATGAAGCTATCCTTGCATGCCTTCAAGATAAATAAAATCTTTGGAATATGACCTCACCATTACTGTTATCAACTTTAATTGTACTGTTGTACCTCGATTTGTTTTCAGCAGCATTCAGCCATAATCATGAAGTCTTCTAAATTGATCTTTGAATGACCCTTCAACCTTATCTTTTGCCATGGCTCTGCCCTAAAAGCCAGATTTCTTGAAATCCTACATTCCATTTCCTAATGACTTTGTCCCTAATGTCCATGACCTTCATTGTAGGGTTTTCTCTCACAGTTTTCTCCATCCTTTGACTCAACCACTTTGAAGTCATCAACTTACATTGAAATCTCTACTACAGTTGTGAACATCAAACACTTTTCTTAGTTGCATGCACTGACATCAGTCCTAAAGGAACAATACGCATACCATTTACAATTTCCTCTTCCACCCAAGCACTTCATAGAAATCTTTTCTTGTCATTCTTAATAAATTTTAAACTTCTCCCATTACTTAGTGCATAGTCCTTATGGCATCTGTGAATTCATTTTTCTCAGCAAAATAGGTTCCTGCTTCCCATTTATAACCCTCCAAAGTTTTAGGCATACTAAAAATGGGAAACCTTATCTTATTGGACCCATCATTGTCCTCACTATCTGATCCACTAATCAACTCCTCTGATAGCCACTCATTGTCAGACAACCCACAGACATCATCAATACAAACATTATCTGTTGACGCGAAGACTCAACTAATGCACTGGAAGCTTCTTCTCTCACATTTCCTTTAGAAGTCCAATGTCCCAATGCACGCTGACATCAATTAGACTTTCTTCACTCACATCTACATCTTCATCGTCAATCTCTGCCTCATGTACATCATCACCCTCACTGTCCTCTACATCATCATCCTCTCCTAAATCCTCTAGCTCAAAATCATGTACATCATGTACCTCAGCTTCCTCTTACATGATGGGACCTCACCATCCTCAACTCAAACATCCTGACCATTACCCTCATGGGGCATCACCCTCACCCTCAACCATTTTTGTTCCAAACATCAGTAGATCCTCACCATCACCCTCATAGGCATCACCCTCACCCTCATGGGCATCACCCTCACCCTCAACCATTTTTGTTCCAACTTCAGTATGATCCTCACCATCACCTCATGGGCATCCCCCTCACCCTCCATCAATTTCTGTTCCAACTTCAGTATGGACCTCACCATCACCCTCATGGGCATCCCCCTCACCCTCCACCATTTATGTTCCAAGTTGACCATCACCAACAACCTCAACCTCCTCACTTGTGTGCAACATCACCTTCATCATCAAGATGACCACCAACCCAATCAATCATTTCTATTATTTCCGGTTCCATCATATTATGAACCACATACAAATGAACTTCATCATTTAACCTAGCAATGTTCAGCATATGCATGACACCCCTATCATTAGTTAATAATTCTAACCTATCTGGGTCCACAGACTGACCTCCTAAATCGTACCATAATTCCTTGATGTCCATATGACCTAATTCTTTGACTGAGGCTACTATTCCAAAATAGCTCCATAGGTCTGGATCACAAGACCATTCTGCTCTCTCTTCTTCAAATTTTAACTGCCCATTATCATCACTGACAAAATCTCCACAATGGTGGACCACCACCTTAACACGTTCCTCATCCATATGAATAAGTTGCTTTTAAACCTGTACATTATGGGGGTAACAAATTTTGAATATTAAACACTCACTAACTACGGGAACACTCACTCACTATAAACACTCGCACCGACACAGACAGGGGACAGGGAACAAAGTAACATCCCCACTAACGAAACACCACACACAAGGGGATCCACTACACTGATAAACAATTTCAACAAAAAAATTCGGGACCACAATGTCTAAACTACAATGTAACAATTCAACATGCAAAATGGGGACCACAAATCTTATAAAAATTGTTACAGACCAAAACAAAAAACCCAATTGTCGAAACGCACATGTTCGTAAAAGCAAAAAGACATTTATGCGTTCAAACAGACAACCAAAGACGAAACGAAATACCTTACCTTAGTTCCCGTCAACTATCGGCTGGATTATCTTCGTCTTGTCCAAGATTGCAGTGGTGAGTCTTCTCGCTTCGTCTCGAAACAAGGAAATGAAATCCTCAATTCCAATTTCAAATCCCTAATTCTGTATTTCTAAACTGAATAAAAGGTACTAAATAATGTCACTATCAAACACTATTTATTTAAGCAAAAACACTCCACGCTTAAATATTCGGCAGGAATCAAATTTCACAGCATCAACAGGTATTCTTGTGCACCCGTGGCTTTAATTTAACCCGTCTCACACCACTTAACGGTTAGGGTAAAATGTGTTCATTTTTACAAAAAATATGACCCAATTGAGACAAATGAAAAAACAAGAATCGAACCGAGATTTCCATACAAAATTGAGGACTGAAGAGGATTTAAACCTAATATAAATTTTTTTTCAACATTTTCATATAAATGTGTTGATTATTTTTATTTAGTTTAAGACACGAAAGTATAATAATAAATAAATAATTAGTATGTTTTTCTAAATATTATAGAATTTATCTTTCAAAATATATTTTTAAAGTCTCCCTAAGAGAAATTTATGATTGAGTAGGTGAGTGGTGGAAGCAAAGAAGTTTACGAAGGTAGGGGCTGTGGGTAGTCTCGAATGGCAGTGCAAAGGGTTTTGGAGTCAGAAGTGGTGAGAATTGTGGAGAAATGCAGCACTCTTAATCATGCGAAACAAGTTCACGCCCATATCTACGGTAACAACCTCCACCAATGTTCCTACGTAATCACCAAGCTCTTACGCCTCGTCACCTCGCTCACCCATGTGCCGCTCGACTCCTACCCTCGCCTTATCTTCGCACAGGTCCACACCCCAAACCCCTTTCTCTGGACTGCTCTCATTCGCGCCTACGCCGTCCGAGGACCCCTCTCCCAAGCCCTTAGCCTCTTCTGCTCCATGCGCGAACGACACATCACTCCCCTCTCGTTTACCTTCGTAGCTCTCTTTTCCGCTTCCGGTGCCGCTCGCCACATCGGTTTGGGAGCGCAGCTCCACACCCAGACACTCTTGGTTGGTGGGTTCGATTCTGATATGTATGTCCACAACGCTATGATTGATATGTACGTGAAATGTGGGTTTACGCGATGCGCACGCAAGGTGTTCGATGAAATGCCTGAACGGGATGTCGTTTCTTGGACCGGGCTGATTGTTGCTTACGCGAAGAGGGCCGATATGAAGGCTGCGCAGGACTTATTTGATGGGTTGCCTGTGAAGGATATGGTTGCTTGGACTGCGATGGTTACTGGGTATGCGCAGAATGCCTTGCCGGAAAATGCGGTGGAGGTTTTCCAGCGGTTGGTAGACGAGGGTGTCGAGATTGACGAAGTTACCTTGGTTGGTGTTATATCTGCTTGTGCTCAATTGGGTGCGTCTGTTTATGCTAAGTGGATAAGGGACATTGCTGAGAGTTCTGGATTTGGGGATGGAAGTAGTGTCCTTGTGGGGTCAGCCTTGATAGACATGTACTCAAAATGTGGTAATGTGGAGGAGGCATATAATATCTTTAAAGGAATGAGGGAGAGAAATGTGTTTTCTTACAGTTCTATGATTGTGGGGTTTGCTATACATGGTCAAGTTCATGCAGCGATTAAGTTGTTTTATGACATGTTGGAGACTGATGTGAAACCAAACTGTGTAACTTTTGTAGGGGTGCTTACTGCGTGCAGTCATGCTGGCTTGGTAGACCTAGGGCAGCAACTCTTTGCTACTATGGAAAAGTATTATGGTGTTGCTCCAACCCCACAGCTTTATGCATGCATGGCGGATCTTCTTGGTCGAGCTGGATACTTGGAAAAGGTAATACGGCTTGTTGAGACAATGTCTATGAAGCCTGATGGAGCTGTGTGGGGGGCGCTTCTTGGAGCATCATACGTTCATGGGAATCCTGATGTTGCGGAAATTGCTTTCAAGCATTTATTTGAGCTTGAACCTGATAACATGGGAAAATATTTGTTGCTTTCTAATACCTATGCATCTGTTGGAAGATGGGATGATGTGTCTAGGGTCAGGAAATGGATCAGAGAGTAAAATTTGAAAAAAGATCCAGGATGGAGCTGGGTTGAAGCAAAAAATGGAATGATTCACAAGTTCGCTGCTGGTGACTTGAAACATCCACAAATTAATGAGATAAAGAAGGAATTAAATGAACTTTTGAAACGACTAAAGGGTATTGGATATCAGCCAAATCTAAGTTCGGTGCTGTATGATGTTAATGATGATGAAAAAAGGCTGTTACTAATGTCTCACAGCGAAAAACTAGCGTTGGCATTTGGATTGCTGAGTACTGATGCCGGTTCCACCATAAAAATTATGAAGAACCTTAGTATATGTAAGGATTGTCATATTGTAATGTGTGGAGTATCAAGACTTACTGGAAGAAAAATTGTTGTGAGGGATAACACGAGATTCCACCACTTCTTTAATGGGGCCTGCTCTTGTAGAAATTTTTGGTGACAGAGGCTAGTGCCATATGCGGGTGAATATTGACGCATAGGTGTTGGAAGGATAACATAGTGACCTTCTCTCATTTTTGGTAAACTAGAGGTGTCTATAGAGTTGTTTTGTGCCTACCTAGACTAATCTATTATAAAAGGATATTGAAAGTTTAGATAAATTGCTCACCTGTTCATTTTACAGGTTGAATTCATCATTGAGGAGTGTTAAAAATGAAGAGGGAAGGCAGGTGATTCACGTGAAGGTAGTTGGTAGACAAATATTTTACCTTAGGGAATGCAAAAGTTTGTACAGATAGATGATCAATGCAGTTATGTGGAAACACTTAAGAATTAAACTGTAAAATAATTCTAGAAGGCTTGATTGATCCCTCTCATAATATTCTATTTATAAGAATAAATTGATACAAGAGTAGATAATAATTAGGGCAACCCTAGATACAATATAATCATGATAAACATAGTAATCCTAGACACACTATAATCATGATAAATATGATAACCCTAGACACAATATAATCATAATAAATAGGGTAATCCTTGACACAATATGATGATAAATGTGCTCGCTTAAATTCTATACAAGCATACAATGACATAAACCGAGATGTGAGTTTGTTGTTGTTATGGCCTTTATCAGGAACTCTTGATTGTCATAAATTCTCTGGTTGCTTTGGCATTATTCATTTTTTTTTACTGTGACAGGTAATAGGAGAGGCTAGCCATTTATCAGGTTATTCTTTCTCTGCCCAAAACAACATTATCCATCCTTCTGCAGAGCTTGGGGCAAAAACAACTGTAAGTTACTTTAGTGGTCTGATATAGGGTTTCTGGAGCATTATTTTTTGTTCTTTCCATTTTTAGGTTCATATAAATAGTTATGATTTGTGTAGGTTGGACCACATTGTATGTTGGGGGAAGGTTCACAAATGGGTGACAAATGCAGTGTGAACCGGTCTGTCATTGGCCGTCATTGTCGGATAGGTGCCAATGTTAAGGTGGGATGATATATTATTCTTACAAGTTAGCAGGAGGTTACATTTTGGTCTTCTGATTTATCTGTGGCATATGGACTCCAACCCACAATGAGTGATCAGCAACACTGTCTAGCATATTCCTAATGAGTTGTATTCATTAATGTTAATGCCAAGTTTTCCTGTGACTTGTTTTATGCATGCAGGTTTTTAATTCAGTAGTTATGAATCATGTTTCTATTGGAGACTGTTGTTCAATCCAAGGTTCTGTTATCTGTAGCAATGTACAGCTCCAAGAACGTGCAGTAGTAAAAGATTGTCAAGTAATTTGTTTTCGCCTTTTTTCTGACCATTTTTTCATGCAATTTGAATCGGAATGTGACATTGCTTGTCTTGGCAGGTTGGAGAAGGTTATGTGGTCACTGCTGGTAGTGAGTGCAAGGGAGAGGTCTTAGCTAAGAAATGAAACTGAGATGTGAGAATCCAGGCTGGGAAATTCATACCAAAGTGATGAGAGGTGTGGGAGTGTTCCGGATACTAAATGGTCTATAGAGAATTACGAGTCTCATTGAAGCCATTACTTCTATTTTTTTGCTTATAAGTGGTTTGGTGTTAACATCAGAGGTTCTCATTAATAAATTTCTATACCATTCATTCGCTTTTGTTAGTCCACGTTGGAATGAGAACTAATTAAGACTATCAGAAAAATGAATGAGGAACATAAACGTAATGAATGATTAAGATTAAGATTAGGAAACAAACATTAATAGTAACCAACGTTTATTCAGGAAAACCAATTACATTCATTTATGAAATATATAGCTTTGATCATCATTCTTTGAATGATGACAAAATATGCTAAAAGTCTTTGAATACGAAATTTCAAGAATTTGTAAAATGACTTTGACGAATTTTGATGTGGGAATAAAAACTTGGAAAATATTTATAAGTGTTTTTATTGCGGCAAGAAGAAAATGAATGTTACAGGGAATTGTGGCAGAGGAACATGAATGACGGAGAAAAAGAACTGAATCTTGTTTACACGCCAATGACGGTAGGTGAAGAGAATGGACAGAATCTTGATGTATGTCTTGTTCTTTTGCAAATTAAGAATGTCACTAAAGTCTGCTCTGAATTGAAAGCTCGCGTTTCGCCTGATCTCTCAAAACTCTCCTTAGCAATTTGTTGGAAGCTGTTCGAGGAAAGTCCGGAACAATTTTAACAAGGCTCACCTGTAGAATAACAGAACGAGTTTGTGAACATCAAATCAATAACTTAATCATCACAAGTCAGGTTGAAATTCCGGTAAAATTTCAATTTCCCTTCAAACTTGAAATTTCATGAATATTTAAGTCGTTGAGTTGTGGCTTTTCATGATTTATTCAATTCAAAATGGTAATTGCTTGCAATGAACCACAGGTCATACCTTAAACAAGGGATTAAGGTTGCTTTGAATGGCTTTAGCGAATTTCCTTTTTAGAGTTTCTGCATCTGAATTGTATCCTTTCTTTAAAACTACAAATATAATCAGCTGTTCTGGACCTCCATGTGCAGGTGCAACACTGATTGCAGCTGTCTCCAAAATGCATTCATCAGCCCCATCACAGACACGCTCAATTTCCACAGAACTTGTCTGCATATCAGAACAGAAAATTCCAGGTAAGAATAACAGTCAGACCAAAGGTGTCAAGGTAGGAATTTATGATTTTCTGACGAATCCATGTAGCAATTAGCTTCAGTTCTTATTAATTTATGCTGAATATTGACATGGAAAAAATATATGATTTGTACACCATGTTTATCCAATAAGTGTAGAACTTGGAGGAGATAAAAACATAAATATAGCGGTGATGAAGGTACCTTTATTCCACCAAGATTCATTGTGTCATCAGCCCTCCCTTGTACTACTAAATAGCCTCCGGCAGTTCTTTTGATTATATCTCCATGTCTCCTAAGAACCTGCTTATATCGTTTTAGAGATTACAAATTATGTATAATGAACCACTTGAAGAAGTTTATTAGAATAACAACAGAACGTGAGTAGTTAACATTACAACTCACAACATAGTCTATTAAGGTACCATGTAATTTACAATGTGACTAACTGAAAACCTTTATGAAGATATTGCGCACTTCCGTAGCATAACAGTGTTTGATAAACATCATAAGTCGAGAGTTAAAGAGTAATCTTATACTCTAGTTTCTTTCTTTTTGGATTTTATGTGTTCAATTAGGTCAGTGAGTACTTGTGCAGTAGGACATCAAACAAAGCATTAAGATGTATTGAACCAATTCATTCTGGACCTTTAAAAAACTATTAGTATGCAAGAAAAGCCACAAAATACCTTCAGATCTGAACTACTATTGCAAGACAGCTATAACTGAATTTGAAAATAACGTAACATTGGGAATAGGATAATTGAAGTATATACCTTTCCTTTGTACATTGGCATTCCCTTGAAGTAAACCTCATCATTATCAGCATTAAGCAATCTATCAGTTGCTCCCATATATATGGGAAACAAGCCCACTTCACCAACACAAGCAACGTCCTCTGGCTGTCATATTGGTTAAAGAGGTCCAACAAATTAGAAAGCCTAAAAATAATTTCGCTATACCAAAACGAAATGGAATCCATTTGGTAAGAGTAAAAAATCTTAAAGACTTAGAGAATTGAAAAGTGTCACAGGACACACAAACAGTCTCAAGATTTTGAGATCAGTTTTCCATTTAGCGATATTGGTTCAAAAGTATGGATTATGTAACAGATAACAAGCACTTGACAACAATTATCCATTGCAACAATAAAATTATAGGTAAGTATTCATACGATGAAAAACAGTTTGAAGTCGGTGGCAAAATACTAAATAGTTAGTACTATATGATCAAATAATACACTACCAAGAAAATTTTCTTACATAAGGAACTCCATTTTCGTCAAGGATAACCAAACCAGTTGTCATTGATGCTGTACTAAATGTTCCAAAAGCTTGGGGCTGCAGTGTACTTCCCATGATGTAAGAAGATGCAAGCTCAGTGCCTCCACAACATTCAATGATTGGTTTGTAATAAGACCTCGAAGAAAGCCAGAGGTCATCATCAACATTTGAAGTTTCTCCAGTTGAACAAAATGTTCTGCGTATAACCTCAGATTAGTTCAGTTTTTCATTAATTACTTGATTATTCAAACTAATAAGAACCTACTTTATCTTTGTCCAATCCAAGCCCTCCATGCATTGTGTATTCTTCCATGTCTTTACCAAGCTTGGAACCGTTCCCAAAATAGTAACACCTGCATCCTGAACAATTGCAGTTGAATGATGATCTTTGAGCAACGTATCTATTCATGCAGATTAAAAACATGATCTACAACAGTTAGTATGACACTTATGTTTTATTGCTGCATTTATGTCTGATTCACCCCATCCATAATAAACCTCTTTGTGGCTAAGTCAGGTTCTAGCCATGAGAACCTTGCCCTCTACAAGGTTATTTCTCCCTTTCCTGTACATTCAGGCCTAGAGTACAGGGGTTCATGTTCCACTATAAGCACCTAGTCGTNTTTTTTTTACTGTGACAGGTAATAGGAGAGGCTAGCCATTTATCAGGTTATTCTTTCTCTGCCCAAAACAACATTATCCATCCTTCTGCAGAGCTTGGGGCAAAAACAACTGTAAGTTACTTTAGTGGTCTGATATAGGGTTTCTGGAGCATTATTTTTTGTTCTTTCCATTTTTAGGTTCATATAAATAGTTATGATTTGTGTAGGTTGGACCACATTGTATGTTGGGGGAAGGTTCACAAATGGGTGACAAATGCAGTGTGAACCGGTCTGTCATTGGCCGTCATTGTCGGATAGGTGCCAATGTTAAGGTGGGATGATATATTATTCTTACAAGTTAGCAGGAGGTTACATTTTGGTCTTCTGATTTATCTGTGGCATATGGACTCCAACCCACAATGAGTGATCAGCAACACTGTCTAGCATATTCCTAATGAGTTGTATTCAATAATGTTAATGCCAAGTTTTCCTGTGACTTGTTTTATGCATGCAGGTTTTTAATTCAGTAGTTATGAATCATGTTTCTATTGGAGACTGTTGTTCAATCCAAGGTTCTGTTATCTGTAGCAATGTACAGCTCCAAGAACGTGCAGTAGTAAAAGATTGTCAAGTAATTTGTTTTCGCCTTTTTTCTGACCATTTTTTCATGCAATTTGAATCGGAATGTGACATTGCTTGTCTTGGCAGGTTGGAGAAGGTTATGTGGTCACTGCTGGTAGTGAGTGCAAGGGAGAGGTCTTAGCTAAGAAATGAAACTGAGATGTGAGAATCCAGGCTGGGAAATTCATACCAAAGTGATGAGAGGTGTGGGAGTGTTCCGGATACTAAATGGTCTATAGAGAATTACGAGTCTCATTGAAGCCATTACTTCTATTTTTTTGCTTATAAGTGGTTTGGTGTTAACATCAGAGGTTCTCATTAATAAATTTCTATACCATTCATTCGCTTTTGTTAGTCCACGTTGGAATGAGAACTAATTAAGACTATCAGAAAAATGAATGAGGAACATAAACGTAATGAATGATTAAGATTAAGATTAGGAAACAAACATTAATAGTAACCAACGTTTATTCAGGAAAACCAATTACATTCATTTATGAAATATATAGCTTTGATCATCATTCTTTGAATGATGACAAAATATGCTAAAAGTCTTTGAATACGAAATTTCAAGAATTTGTAAAATGACTTTGACGAATTTTGATGTGGGAATAAAAACTTGGAAAATATTTATAAGTGTTTTTATTGCGGCAAGAAGAAAATGAATGTTACAGGGAATTGTGGCAGAGGAACATGAATGACGGAGAAAAAGAACTGAATCTTGTTTACACGCCAATGACGGTAGGTGAAGAGAATGGACAGAATCTTGATGTATGTCTTGTTCTTTTGCAAATTAAGAATGTCACTAAAGTCTGCTCTGAATTGAAAGCTCGCGTTTCGCCTGATCTCTCAAAACTCTCCTTAGCAATTTGTTGGAAGCTGTTCGAGGAAAGTCCGGAACAATTTTAACAAGGCTCACCTGTAGAATAACAGAACGAGTTTGTGAACATCAAATCAATAACTTAATCATCACAAGTCAGGTTGAAATTCCGGTAAAATTTCAATTTCCCTTCAAACTTGAAATTTCATGAATATTTAAGTCGTTGAGTTGTGGCTTTTCATGATTTATTCAATTCAAAATGGTAATTGCTTGCAATGAACCACAGGTCATACCTTAAACAAGGGATTAAGGTTGCTTTGAATGGCTTTAGCGAATTTCCTTTTTAGAGTTTCTGCATCTGAATTGTATCCTTTCTTTAAAACTACAAATATAATCAGCTGTTCTGGACCTCCATGTGCAGGTGCAACACTGATTGCAGCTGTCTCCAAAATGCATTCATCAGCCCCATCACAGACACGCTCAATTTCCACAGAACTTGTCTGCATATCAGAACAGAAAATTCCAGGTAAGAATAACAGTCAGACCAAAGGTGTCAAGGTAGGAATTTATGATTTTCTGACGAATCCATGTAGCAATTAGCTTCAGTTCTTATTAATTTATGCTGAATATTGACATGGAAAAAATATATGATTTGTACACCATGTTTATCCAATAAGTGTAGAACTTGGAGGAGATAAAAACATAAATATAGCGGTGATGAAGGTACCTTTATTCCACCAAGATTCATTGTGTCATCAGCCCTCCCTTGTACTACTAAATAGCCTCCGGCAGTTCTTTTGATTATATCTCCATGTCTCCTAAGAACCTGCTTATATCGTTTTAGAGATTACAAATTATGTATAATGAACCACTTGAAGAAGTTTATTAGAATAACAACAGAACGTGAGTAGTTAACATTACAACTCACAACATAGTCTATTAAGGTACCATGTAATTTACAATGTGACTAACTGAAAACCTTTATGAAGATATTGCGCACTTCCGTAGCATAACAGTGTTTGATAAACATCATAAGTCGAGAGTTAAAGAGTAATCTTATACTCTAGTTTCTTTCTTTTTGGATTTTATGTGTTCAATTAGGTCAGTGAGTACTTGTGCAGTAGGACATCAAACAAAGCATTAAGATGTATTGAACCAATTCATTCTGGACCTTTAAAAAACTATTAGTATGCAAGAAAAGCCACAAAATACCTTCAGATCTGAACTACTATTGCAAGACAGCTATAACTGAATTTGAAAATAACGTAACATTGGGAATAGGATAATTGAAGTATATACCTTTCCTTTGTACATTGGCATTCCCTTGAAGTAAACCTCATCATTATCAGCATTAAGCAATCTATCAGTTGCTCCCATATATATGGGAAACAAGCCCACTTCACCAACACAAGCAACGTCCTCTGGCTGTCATATTGGTTAAAGAGGTCCAACAAATTAGAAAGCCTAAAAATAATTTCGCTATACCAAAACGAAATGGAATCCATTTGGTAAGAGTAAAAAATCTTAAAGACTTAGAGAATTGAAAAGTGTCACAGGACACACAAACAGTCTCAAGATTTTGAGATCAGTTTTCCATTTAGCGATATTGGTTCAAAAGTATGGATTATGTAACAGATAACAAGCACTTGACAACAATTATCCATTGCAACAATAAAATTATAGGTAAGTATTCATACGATGAAAAACAGTTTGAAGTCGGTGGCAAAATACTAAATAGTTAGTACTATATGATCAAATAATACACTACCAAGAAAATTTTCTTACATAAGGAACTCCATTTTCGTCAAGGATAACCAAACCAGTTGTCATTGATGCTGTACTAAATGTTCCAAAAGCTTGGGGCTGCAGTGTACTTCCCATGATGTAAGAAGATGCAAGCTCAGTGCCTCCACAACATTCAATGATTGGTTTGTAATAAGACCTCGAAGAAAGCCAGAGGTCATCATCAACATTTGAAGTTTCTCCAGTTGAACAAAATGTTCTGCGTATAACCTCAGATTAGTTCAGTTTTTCATTAATTACTTGATTATTCAAACTAATAAGAACCTACTTTATCTTTGTCCAATCCAAGCCCTCCATGCATTGTGTATTCTTCCATGTCTTTACCAAGCTTGGAACCGTTCCCAAAATAGTAACACCTGCATCCTGAACAATTGCAGTTGAATGATGATCTTTGAGCAACGTATCTATTCATGCAGATTAAAAACATGATCTACAACAGTTAGTATGACACTTATGTTTTATTGCTGCATTTATGTCTGATTCACCCCATCCATAATAAACCTCTTTGTGGCTAAGTCAGGTTCTAGCCATGAGAACCTTGCCCTCTACAAGGTTATTTCTCCCTTTCCTGTACATTCAGGCCTAGAGTACAGGGGTTCATGTTCCACTATAAGCACCTAGTCGTTGAGGCTCAGCCAAATAACTGTGTATAAGGACAACTCATTTTTCTCTTTTCTTTTGCCATAACAGAATTACATAAGTTAACATATATACTTTTATGGACATAGCTCACTACACAATACTTTTTTGTCATCACAAACTTCATCTTTAGTAATTCTAGTTTATGAGAAAATTTCTAAGCAGCAAACTTCTTTTATCTTGTTTCGACATCAGTGTGGCAAACAGATGCAAATTGTTTTCACAAAGGATAGGAATGTTCACAAGTAATGCCACTGTAGATGACACTAACTTGAAACCATTTCCCTCTACATCCCACTGCATCATATTACTTCATGGCATCCATAATTTGGAAGAAAAAACAACTACCCTAGATAGTTCCCATTCAGTCCTGCTACTAGTCAGCATTTATTTTATTTAGCATGCTGTCCCCAAGTCATATGTGATTAAAACAAGTTATGTTGATCACAAATAACGACCGCTTTGTAGAATAAGACATGTTATGTTAATCGCCAATATTGACCGCTTAGTAGAATAAGACATGTTATGTTAATCATAAATATATAGGGACTGAAATATTGGAGTTGGACAAATACCTGAACGAACTTTCCAAAACCATGGTCTAGAGGAGATCCATGGTACAGAGCAAGAGTTGCACCTGATAGAAAACATGAATATATAAGAGTTGGGCCCATCACCCATCCTAAATTTGTAGGCCAGCAATAGACATCTCCAGGTTGAATATCAATAAAAGCCCATCCATCTGCAGCACTTCTTATGGGTGAAAGTTGAGTCCAAGGAATTGCTTTCGGCTCCCCTAAAAAGTAAAAATGTAACTAGAAAATCATTATAATGGGAGTTTCTTATTGATGTATTTCACTGTTCAAGGAAGAATCTTTACCCGTGGTTCCAGATGAAAAAAGTATGTTAGTGACAGCATCAATTGATTGATTGAATGGAGAGTAGTGATGTGACCTGCCACGGTTTAAATGTTAAGGTGAGACTAAACACTAGAGAAACATTCCAAATTCTCTCACCCATATTTTCTGTTTATGGGACCTTTAGTAATGACTCTTTTAGATCACATAATAGAAACATTTTAATGTATACATTACCTGGGATGCTGTCTGCTAGAAGAAAGAAAATCCTTCCATGATACATCGCATTCTCTTAATTGCACACCTAGATCATCACCTATCACAGGAAGCACGATAACTTTACACGCAGCTGCCTCAATGACTCGACTGCAAGGAGAAGTAAGCAGAATGAGCTGGTGTTCTAAATGTAAAAGGAAAAACCTTAAATTTATCTAGCTTAAACTACAAGAAAGCTTGAAATATTCCAAGTTTTGCTTCGTAAAAATATTCTGAGTGGCACTAAAGTAAGCATTAAGCAGTGGTTAGGAAATGCATCTAGAATACGAAACTTGGTCAATGGAAGTCAGTTGTGCCTTTTACTGACCAAAATCTCGAGGAAAGTCTAAGCATATCAAAACGCCAAGAAAATATAAACGAGCAAGGAATGCGACATTCCAAGTGGAAGAATCACATTGAAGGAGCATTGAAGAAGTACCACAATTATGCTTTATGATAAAGACAGATGCATCCTAAGCATCCATCTAGCATAGAAAAGAACAAACTATTCACCTGATAAGGTTTTTGGTACTTGGCCGGTACTGGAACTAACTAAGACATTTGTTCAAGGTCCTACACAGTCTATGTAAGTTGAACTGGTATATTTTTCAATTTTAACATAAAATATTAATAAATATTAAGCAAAAAAATGTAATCATAATTTTAAAGAAAATGCAAATGACATTACTTGTAACTGATAATATTTAAAATTAAACAAGAAACCAAATCAAATATGTCATAACATATACAATACAATATATATCAACTACCAGGATTTGAACCAGATTAACTGACTTTACACCAGCTCTCTATAAGATCAGTTTTAAGAATAGACGAAAGGAATTGTTTATTAGTTAGAACAGTTACTTTGGTCTGATACCATTCTGACATTGGTTCTTGATAGAATCGTTAGAATCGGAAAAGGTAGTATTAAAAAAAGATGACTTGAGTGTGAGATATCAATTTCATTTCATAAGTGGAAAATATAATTTTGCCATATTACTCTTTTCTTATGGTTCCATTAAATATCTATTAACTAGAATCCCGCATATAAAAGTTCCATTCAGGAATTTATGAGAAAAAAGAAAGGTTCTATAAAAACAGTTTCCAAAATACACTGTGTTTGGTGATTTAACACTATTTTCGTTAAGCTTGACTCCTATATTCTAATACAATGACCTTTCTGTTCCAAAACAGATTGAGCTTTCACTAGCATGTGACCATTGCATTGAACTCAAACCCAAGTAACAAAAAGGAACATCCCATTGAAACATTTATCAAATGATCGTTATATAAAATTACTATAACAAATATTGAGCTGGTAATTTTGCCAAGAGTAAAGGATTTCTGAACAGATAAACAAGGTAATATGATCCGGATAATGCAAGAAGTATGATGTAAAATAATTACCTGTACAAAGGGAACTTCCTGCCACCTCTTGATATGAAATCCTGAAACAAATTCAAGCCGAGTAAATTACAACAGTTCGAATTTATCTTTGAAAGTTCATCATGTAAGTGCTTATATCAATGATCCTAAATGTGAGGACAGCTAGGATCAAACTCTTTACCACTGGATCAGGATAGTTTTACACCATGTCAAGGACCAGCTCTTCTTAAAGCTTAAGCTATATGTTTTTATGTCTAAAGAGGATTCCAAAGAAGCATCTACAATTTATTTCCCCCATTTTTATATATTTGTGTGTATGTGTGTCATGAGTTGAGGATTGTTCCTCCACTTTTATATATATATATATATATATATATATATATATATATAATGTGTGTGTGTCTGTTTTATTTTAGTCATATCATTAGTTAAAATGAAATTTCAAACAATCCCCACTTATGTCCAAAATTGAACATTTCAAGTGGGATATTTACAAGACTGGATATTTGGATATAGTCCAATAATAGATCATCCAAAAGGCCCAAAACAAATGCTAGGAGAGAAGAATTCGAGCTCCAAAACTTAACTCAATATTATATAATCTGCTTGTAAATTGAGAGTTGCTTAAGCCTTGTAAGGGCTACATAAGTCATATATATAACTAATGTGGGATCTACACCGTACTCATCAAATATGCAAGAACAGAATGACAATTTCAAAATTGTTGTATTCATGATTTCAACATATTCTTCAATACTTTGATCTTTATAACTCTAGGTATGAACAAAAGTAGTTTGAAGATTAGGGAGCACTAATTACAACTTGTTTCTACAATTCTATTTGATGAAATGTCTAGAACATACGGAACTAGGAAGCCAGGATCATGACATTGAATCTGACCTAGTGAAGGAACTATACAACTGAGTCATATACGACAGTTTCAAGAACCAAATGTCGTAAAGCTTAAGCTATAAAGCACAAGCCCAATAATCGTATTTAGTCTAAAATGTCCTCTGGTGAGAACCATTTGGGATTCAAGCATAAGTACTAGTGCACTCAGATATTTTGGTGAAATTATAATTTAATTAAGGGAATTTGTCAGTGAGGACAGAACCCTTGACGACTTAGTAGAATCTGATTTCATTGCATGAACAGTCTCCCAGCAGTTTAATTTGTCAGGTGCAAGCCCAGAAAAATTAATTTCTAACAGATAGTTGGGAACATAACAAAATGTAACTAACAATATATGACAAGTTCATCCATGTAATTATCAGTTTAAGATTTAGATAATTGCTACTTTTAGGTTGTGAGTGTGAAAGTGCTGGACAGGAAAGGCAAGAAGCCTGGGATACCCATCATCTATAACTCAAATATTCAATTTTCTTTATGTTCGTTATCTGTCCAGGTTTATCTTATGGCTATACATGTTAAGATTTCATTCACTTAGTGTCCTCCTAATTGATTTTCGCTTAACTTCATTTAAAACTCTCAGCACCATGAAATCTATTTTAGTAAACACTCTTTGATCACTGAAACTGTTAATAATATGGTTGTTAGGTTCTGTCAACTCCTAGCATGCCACCTTTTAACACACTACATACAGCTTTCAATGCAGCTACTGTTATACCTAATTAATATTTATTATAACCCTGACCTTTCTCGGGTTTGTGAAGTCTTAATTTATTGCAATGCACCATTCATGAAGACTAACAAGCCCTAACAAGATCCAGCTCTTTGCTAATGTCTAGGATCAAAGCTAAATGATGCAGTCAGCATCCTCATTAAACATATATAGGCCAATACGTTTACCGAAATAAGGTCCAAGAAATCATTATTTTAACAAGTTCTCCTTGAATTGGGTATCTGTGAACATTGACCGTTTGCTGAATCTCATCAAATAAGAAACATTTAATAAAATTAAACTTTTTTAGGCCATATGAACCATTTGGTAATTTTAGCATTTCTTCACACACACTGAAGCGTATAACACGCATATATTGGTGACTAGGAAAGAACAAAGACAATATCGATTGAATAGAACTTTGATGAACAACAAGTAATACACAATACCAAATTTAAAACATCACCTGAGTGAAAATACCCTTAGCTTTAGAAACACGCAGGCGAGTTGCAATTTCTTTTGGTGCAAAACTATCAGCTATTGATACTACAACACATCCTGCTAAAACAATGGCCAGATATATAATCACGGCATTGACTGTCATTTGCATGTCAATGGCGATTGCATCTCCTTTCGAGAATGAGGCATCTATTGCATTCGCTACCAACCTGGAAAAAACACAGCAAAAACTATGAAAATTACTTAAAGAATAAAACAGAAGGGAGAAAGATCAAAATCTTAATAGTGAGATACAGGAACAAAAAGAACGGAAGAAAAATAAAATAAAGCATAATGATACACAAATTAATCCCGAATCAACAAGAAAATCAAAGCAGCGATGAGATTGAAAAACACATAAAATTATTGAATCAACCAAAGTGGCACAGGTATGATGATGAGCAACACAAATTTGGTCCAAAAGCAAGACTGTGAGCTGAAAAGGCTTACATTACTTGTTGTCGGAGCTGTTTAAGCGTGATACGGTTAACCTCGGAATCATGAAAAGCTTCATCTCTCCAAACGATGGCTAAACTGTCATCTGGTTTGTAGGGATGAGAATTGGGTTGCAGGCAGCAATCAGCAATGTTGAGGACAGAACCGGGAAGCCAGGTGCCTCCATGTCTAGAAGGGTCAGAAGTATCTAAAATATATTTGGGAGGTTCAACAAAGTAGAGAGAAAGCTCCTTGAGAAGAAGGGACCAGTAGAGCTGCATTGACAATGAGAATTAAGAAAGAAAGAAAAGAAGAGATGTGATGTGTGAATAGAAAAAGAGGTGTTGGGTTGTTTGCCTGAGGGTGTTGAACAGAAAAGTTGTGAAAGAGGCGATAACTGGAAATAGGGTCTTTGTAGGAAGGTCCTAAAAGTTGAGGGGCGTGAGTTTCCATGAAACGGCCAAGGTTGGTGCGTTTGGAGTTGTCCCTGAAAAGAAGAAGAGAAGTGAGTGGAGATTGTAGTGTGATAAGAGTGATAGATAAGAAGAGAAAGACTTACAGGGAAGGAAACCAATAGAGTGGGAGGGAAGCATGTTGAGTGTGGAAGGCAGAGTGATAAACAGAGTGATAGAGAAGATGATGCAATGAGTGTGGAAAGGATGGTTTCAGCAGTTTTCGAGTCACAATGTGGCGCCATATGAGTGAGGGTTGGTTGTCGTTGTCGGTGTCGGAGAGACACTGAGACAGAATATCCCTCAAAAGACGGTAGAGTTGATTGGCTTCTGCTACTGTCAACCCTGCATTCAGCAAGTCCTCCACTTCCAATTCCCTCACAGTCTTCACCATCTCTGTTTCAAAAGTGGAAGTTGAATGAAAAGTTGCAGAGGGGTTGTTGAGTTCTTGAGGTTGAGGTGATCCAAGTGGATCATGCGGTATCTTCACACCACCAAACACTTCAAACTCTGTATTATTAAGCTTCCACCACCTTCACAGCATCTCCCTGAGAAAGCTTTTCTTTTTTTCAGGTGATTGGCGGTGATGAATGGTGATGTTTCTGAGACAAAAATTGAATTTGGCATGAGGCACCAACTTTACTTAACCACGTGATCTGTTTATTATACCTACCACAGAGTGAGTTAACTGCTGAGTTTATAAATAAGTCACTGCTGAGTTATTTATCAAATTGATTGACTCAATTTATATTAACTTTTTTTAAATTACAACTTAGAATTATTTATTAGATGTAAATTATATTGTTATTATAAAATTCTTTACGTTCAAATAAAAAATAATCATAAAATAATAATATGCAGTTATCAAATAACCCTTTTATGGCAATTTTTTATGACTTCGTTTTTTCTTTGAGAAGGTTAATTAAAATCGTTGATAGGGTGGTTGGTTAATGAGGTTGAGGTCCCAAAGTTGACCACAACATAGAATGGTAGTTGGTGACGCCTCTCCCCACAAACAACCAAACCAACCACGTTTTTTTCCCTCCAAAATATCCTGTTTTTTAATTACAGAACTACAAAAGGAAAAATCACAAACATTCACCCTCATTTTATATACACATGTCTATTAAATACTTGTTTTTCTTTATTATATTATATATCCTATAAATTTATTATTTTTATTTCCTATATATATATATATATATATATATATAT